CCCAAACTTTCGGCTTGAAGTAAATAATTAACAACACATTTTCCTTCTACCGGTTATACATTAATAATAAAAGGGTTTTGCGGTATTATGCAGCTGAAGGTGGGTTAGCTGACGTCAGATCATTTCAGATTGCTGTACGACAGACGTCACAGAGTCAGTTTGTTGAATCAATTGTACTCCTGATAAACTCTACGTTAATCTACAACATTGTCACAACCAAAGATACTGAGTCTCAATTTCCTTACAGCATTAATCAAGGTGAACCCTAAACGTTATGTCATAAAGGATAACTCTGCGCCTCATCTTCAAACCTTAGAAATTAACTGCAGAGAGGTGCAGTAAGACTCTCTCTGGTGAAGATTTATAATGTAGAGATGAGTCTCCACATTTTTTTTTTCAAAGGGTTCAATGTATCACCTTCTCAGGGGAATTAAGATAATCCAGAATGGTGGATTATGTAAGAGGAACCTTAGCTCGACTAATCCTCCCTCCTGTCTGACTGTTCTTTGATGGTTGGTGTATAGTGGAGTCGACGGGGAGTCAGGTAAATGTTGTTATGTTGTCGTTCCCCTGAGAGAACAGGAGTAATTCTATTCATACGCCCTCAACATTGACAAACTTTGGCCAGCAATCTTTACTCTACAAGAAGATACGATTGCAAATATTTTAAGTATGCCAGTAAGTATGTGGATATCCCTGTAGCTGCAGGGCTGCTTGCAGCATTTTCCACTACATGAACAACATGCCCTGTCAGTGCCTGCTGCACATTATTTGCTGGCTAATCGAGGGAACGAGGGTCTTGTGGTTGCATGTGGACTCAGCGGCCGTGTCACACTAAATGAGCTGTGCATGTTGTCATGTTTAATGCATGTTTGTGCCTCTGGGAAAGAAAGATGCAGGAGGGAGATTAGAGAACATTAAGCATTACGATGAAAAATGTTTTGCAAGAGATTCAACAGATTTTGTTATACTTTAATTTAATACGTTTGATGTTTTTTTCTAACAACTTAATAAGAGGTGAGTGTAGAAAAGAGGTTTTTTTTTTATTTAACGCCTGCTCGAGTCAGATAATGAGATAATCTGTCCTTGGCTGACCACTCACACTCCCGTGTATTGGCTTCCCCATTGGCCTCTGCAGCCAGCGCCAACAACCGATTGGCTGCGGGGGGAATTGTGAGGCAGAGGACTAGTTAATTATGCTAATCCACGAAACTGATAAGGAGACGGTTTGAAAAATGTAAACCCTCTGGAAACACGCTCACGCCGAGGCAGTGTGCTTTAGAGAAATGCAGTGAGATAATATAAGGCAATTTTGTCAGAGTAAGCAGAGAGAGGAAATCCAGGAAATAGAGAGAAAGAGAAACGAGTTATAATTAAACTCTTGGCTTTTTTCTCATAGATCTCTATCTCTGGATAATATTCAAGAACTCAATGTTTCCAGCATCCTTATTTCCATCAGTTTCAAACACTAATGTGGAGTACTAAATGTGACTGAATCCTCTGGATGCTGGACTTTCCTCCCCCCCACTCAGCACTCGGTTCCTCCTCTGTGCTGGTGTGCTGCTGGCCTTTCCCCTCTCTTCTTGTTAACTGATGTCTGTGGGCGGATAACACTGCTTCACTGATCCACAACTCATGACACACCACTCATGCTCTTTTTCTTTCATTTCTTTCTCTTCTTTTCATCTCTGCCCCAAACTCTCAAATCTCAGCAGCAGTTAATTCCTGCTGTGCACAACAAATGTCATTACTGGATTTAAGTGAGCAGCACCCAGTAGATTTGAAATGTTGTCCCTGTAACAGACCGAGTCTAAACTGATTGTCTTTTTTACGAGCACAAACGCTCTGTAGCCATCTGTGTCGCAGTCAAAGTGCATTACTGTCTCTGCAATACAGCACAAACAAGGGTAAGGGTTGCACTGGGGAGATATTTGAGAATACGGAAAAGAGGAAGCTGGATCTTCCGGTGCATGTTATTCGCATTTGAGCTGTTTTCTCTAAATATCCCACTTCCAGATATCACTGTACTGCAGGTACAACTGGTGAGGCATGCTGTACTCACATTAGAGAAAAACTGATTTCTCACCCACAACAACAGAGGCAGTACATTTGGATGTGACTTGAAACTTGGATGTGTCGAGTTAGCTGGCTATAAGTCATGTACATTGGAAGGGAGTCACAAAGAAAACGAGAAAGAGATGGGGTGGAAAAAAGACATAAGAGCAACAGAGAAGAGGAAATAGGAGAGTTTGAGTATATCTGAGGAAGTATAACAAACTCCATGAGGAAACTAAACTGAGGGGAAAAGAGGAAGCTGCATCCATCTTAATTTGCACCTTAGCTGATTCTCTCTATGAGTTTCTCTGACTCACAGCCTAACTGTTCCACTCAGATATCACTGTACTGCAGGTACTACTGGTGGTGAGGCATGCTGTACTCACATTAGAGGAAAAACGGATTTCTCACCCACAACAACAGAGACCTAGAAACCCTGAGACCTGGAGGCTCGGCTTATCACTCTGACCAATTTCCCCAAAGACAATTATCCCTCCACCTTTCAAGAGGCATCCAAGGAGTCTGGAAAGTTTTCTGTGTCTGTTTCGTTCTTGTTGTCTAGTTTTGAGGTCAACAAATGTTTGTGGTCAAAATGGTGCAACACATTTATCTTTTAGTTATTATTCTGCTTAGACTTTACTCTGCTTGAAACGCATCATACCTGTGATGAATATAGTGAAATAACTAAAACAGATAGTCATTCTGATGTGACTTGTAACTGCAGAGTTATCTGACTTAAGTCATGTACATTGAAAGAGAGAAAACAAGTGAGAGATGGGGGAGGAAGAGAGGTGGGATAGAGAAACAGAGGAAGGGGATGGAGGAGAGATTGAGTATCTGAGGGAGTATAATTAACTCCATGGTCTGCTTCTCTGCAGGCCTGCGGCATACTGCTCTAAAATGCTGATTCAGTATACAGATAGACGGAGTATAGCACAGTGAGGGAGAAAGGGGTGAGGAGAGGGATGCAGTAAGAGGGAGCTAGGGGAGGTGTTTTAATGAAGAGATGATGTGAAATAAAGCAATAGATAGCTCAGCGGGACGAAAACTCTCAAATGATGAAAGCGAAGAGTGAACAGTGAAGGCAGGAGAAAGTTAAGCTGCTTAAAGAAAAATAACACATGAAAGATCTGTGATATAAGACTAAATTAACAGTTTCAGAGGATAGATTGTAGACTTTAGGATGAGAGGTGGGTTACCTGAAGTTACACTTTATTGAGCACCTTATTGAACAACTGCAGATGTTGCTGAGAAACAAGAGTGCACACTTTGTGTTATTTGGAGAACAGCGACATCTAGAGGTGTAACAAGATATTTAATCGGCACTGAGTTTCTACTGAAGAACTGGGCTGAAGTCGAATAGTCCATTTAGCTTAGGAACCTTCCTAACGGAGTGAAATGACCCGGAAGTCCCTTAGTAGCAGCCATGATAAGTGCCGTTCAAATTCTAGATGATAGGAAAGCATACATGCCAACCTTTCCAAATCCAAAAGAGGTAGGTTTGCGCACCCAAATTAGGTAATCAGAAGAAATGGAACCCCAGTAATTACATGTATAAACCATGTATTTAATATATATTGCATCATTTTATGCATTTTTCAGAAAAAGTGGTAGTTTGGTAAACAGTGACATCAACGACATGTCTGGTCTGTAAAATGCCCGAAAAGTAAAAGAATGGGAGATAAATATCCCAAAGTCTCCACATTTTATTATATTTTTAATGTGTTTATGGTCCTCTTTCAGTTGAGACAGTGTAGATGAAGGATGTGTCAGGATGTAGAACTCTTGTGTGAACATTGGATGAAGCCAGGTTCATATTCTTGTTTCATGTTGTTGACATATTAGAGTCAAAGGTTTGCACAGAGCGGAATATCTTTGTGTTGCGCCATAAATCAGAAAATACTGCATTAAAAAAGTAATTTCCTGCATTTTTCTACTGATAAAGTGTGATATAAATAATGTACAGGCTTAAAGATTGCTGTAGCTCACTAGACAGAGATATTAACGACATGTTTGGTGTTGAAAAAGTGAAAGAATGGGAGATAAATATCCCCAAATCTCAAAATTGTATTATATTTGTGATGTGTTTGTGGTCCTCTTTCAGTTGAGACACTGTAGGATGCTTCAGGAAAAGACCAAACACTGGATGTCTTTCAGTCGCCAACACGATACACGAGACACGATATTAACGGGGAAACCCTGTAGGACTCAAATGCCTCGTCTCTGTTCCCTTAAACTGGGAGTGATTACCCATCAGCCCCGGGGGTAACGCTGCCTTTCCTCGTTACCCCCGGTCTGCACCGTGCACGTTGTTTCTCTTTCAGAAACACAGATGACTGTTTGTATGATGCGATCACAGACACGCTGCAAACGGTGTCCGCCAAAAGTCGAGTCCAGTGTCTATGGAGTGTGTTTTTTATTTTTTATAGTTTGGGAAGATTGAAAATCGGTAGGGAAAGTCAGCTAAGTCGGTAGGCGGTAGAAACACGTCAAAAGCTGTAGACTACCGCCCAAATCGGTAGGGTTAGCAGGTATGCTGTTGGTGCAGTCAATAAATGTCTTTGTGGAGAGTGAGACCAGTTCGTTTAGCATGTCTTTCGGGCTGGCGGCCATGCCCAATGGCAACCCCAACTTTGGTTTTGATACTTAAACAGATCAACAGATCACACTGATGACGTTGATGAATTTAATGAAAAATGCGTACAAAGTGCGGTAATACTGACCTCCCAAATCTGTTTCGGTTTCATTAACTTCAGGATTAGTTGTGAAGTTGTAAGGACAGTCTGAAAATACAGAAGACAAAACATGATATTGTACCTTATTACATAAAAGGTTTTTGTGTTATTTTGATGCATTTATAAGAAAAATACTTCAATTTAATGCTAAGAAAACTCTTGTATTTCAGTGAATTAGGTTCTGTTCTCTTGCTTACTGTCCATAGTGCAGCAAAAAAGCTCTCCAACAGCCTCCTCAACTGCTTTGAAATCTCCCTCATATATAATGTCAGAACTGGCGTTGTTTGGAATTGCCAAGACCACATCATGTGTGACACTAACACTGGGGAAGAGAAAATGTCATATAGCATGTCAGTACAGGTCATACAGGAAGTCATTACAATGCTAATTTATTACCTACCTTTATGAATGTCCTATAATTCTATTATTAGTTTTGTTGGTAAATACATCTGTTACATTAGCCTAAATCCAAATGTGAGGAAATATAGCTTAACCAGATACATCATAATCAGAAGAAATACAGAAGCAATAAAGCAACAAAGCAAAACTGAGGAACAAAAGAACTGTGTGGGGGACAACAACTATGAACAAGCTAGTCATTAGTAAAAGGGCAATGTTCTCCCCCGCTATCGGGTGAGGGAATGGAGACAAACGGAGATGTGCATTAATTATTTTTGTCAAAACAATAAATATTCACAATAGATGAATATAATCAAGTGCAAACATTTTACAATTCAAAAAACAGATTGTGAAGTAAACAAAGTAAATAAATATTTTCAGAAAAAGTAGGTAGTAAGTAGGAAAACTATGAACCTTTCATAAAAATGAATGTTATTATTACTCTAGTGAGGATCTGAAAAGATGAGGTTTTCATCAGACTTTTCACTCCGACACACTGCTTTCATACTATAACTGATAGTTGTTGTATGTTTAAGTTGTTGATTAGATCCTGTCATAATTTCAAGTAGACCATATCCTCAAGTTCTCACAAGTAAGTGTTAACAGGTTTTGATTAATTTTATGAGTTTTAACATATCTATTTTAAATACATTTCGGTTTTAAAAAGTATGTTTAATTTGTTTATTTGTCTAAGGCTTTCTTTTTATTATTATTTATTTGTTCTATTGTTTCCACTTGGATTATTATTATTATTATTATTATTATTATTATTAGTAGTAGTAGTAGTAGTAGTAGTAGTAGTAGTAGTAATAGTTGTTGTTGAAGTAGTAGAAATACTATATATATTCATATTTTATTATCAAGTAGTATAATTACTGGGGTTATTATTGTAGTTGTTATGAATATATATAGTATTTCTACTACTTCAACAACAACTACAATAATAACCCCAGTAATTATACTACTTGATAATAAAATATGAATATATATAGTATTTCTACTACTTCAACAACTACTACTACTACTACTACTATTACTACTACTACTACTACTACTACTACGACTACGACTATGACTATGACTACTACTACTACTACTACTTCTACTACTACTACTCCTACTACTACTACTACTACTACTAATACTCCTACTACTCTACTACTACTACTACTACTACTACTACTAATACTACTACTACTATTACTACTACTACTACTACTACTACTACGACTATGACTACTACTACTACTACTACTACTACTTCTACTACGACTACTCCTACTACTACTACTACTAATACTCCTACTACTCTACTACTACTAATACTACTACTACTACTACTACTACTACTTCTAATAATAATAATCCAAGTGGAAACAAAAGAACAAATAAATAATAATAAAAAGAAAGCCATAGACAAATAAACAAATGAAACATATGGATATGGTCTACTTGAAATTATGACAGGATCTAATCAACAACTTAAACATACAACAACTATCAGTTATAGTATGAAAGCAGTATGTCGGAGTGAAAAGTCTGATGAAAAACCTCATCGTTTTCAGATCCCCCACTAGAGTAATAATAACATTCATTTTTACGGAAGGTGCATAGTTTTCCTACTTACTACCTACTTTTTCTGAAAATATTTATNTTTCAACCTGTGATTGCCAACATTCAAAGTTTCCATGTGCTTATCTATATTTGTCTGTTAAATTACTTTATTTGTAAATTGTTTTGGTAAAATATTTCAAGTTGTCTTTGCTGAAATTACCTATTTGTTCTTGGTGCGATACTGTGGATAACTTCAGATGGTAAACTCCTCTGAAACAAGATAGAGCAGTTGTTAATATCTTATCTCTGATTCAATACAAAGCTGAAACAAGTCTGAATAGGTTTACCTTTTTTAAAGCGTAATCTGAGAATCTGACCGCAGGGGCTCCCGGTCTGAGAAAAAAGAATTGGAGAGAAACTGTCTGTTGATTTGATTGGATGTACAATGTATAGGAAAATATGATGATAATTGCTTTGTTAATAAAAANCAAGTAGTATAATTACTGGGGTTATTATTGTAGTTGTTATGTTCGTCTTAATTATTGCAGTTTTTCTGTATTTGCAGGAATATTTCTATGCAAACTATATGTTGCATAATTGTTGTGTATGTGCACAGTTTGCTTGTGCTTGACTTTTTTGCTTTGTTTTTAATATATATGCAAAGTAGGGTGACAATATCTCNAAACAACACCTCCACGGAGCTTAGCGCGATTCACAATGTCCCGACCAATCAGAGCACACTGTGCTCACAGGGAGGGTGGGGGCTGGAGCTATTGGAGCTACAACGAGCCGTTAAAGGCAGAGAGTGAAATTCAGTGAATACACGTAGTTTACAGAGATGCTGTATGAAAAACCAATGTGAGTTTGGAAAATTGCACAATATAAATCTATTCTAGTAGACCTCAACAATGGAATTATGATCAGTGGAAATGGCCATGACATGGGACCTTTAAGTTTGTGTCAATCACTTGCACGTCACTTCTGGTATGATGGGCATTCCCTTTCCGGTTTGATTCTCTAGTTTGTTAAAGTGTTTCGGGAAATGTTAAAGTGTTTCGGCAAATGTTAAAGTGTTTCGCATCTTGTTAATTTGTTTTTGTTAATGTTAAATCGTTTTTACTTTGGTAAAAGTGTTTTGCTAATGTAATTTTGTTTTATAAAATGTAAATTTGTTTTATAACATTTAAATTTGTCTCAAGCTTTGTTAAAGTGTTTCACACTTTGTAATTGTCGATTGCACCTCTCAGCCACCGTAAAAGAGAAGGAGCAGATGAACATTATGAGAGTGTGTGTGCCTCTCATTGGATGTCAGAGCTTATGTGTGCATGTTTTAATGGGGAGGGGCCAGCAGAATGGTGTGACAGTGAGGGTTAATCCTCGTCATCAGCGTTCATTCATGAAGCTCATGCATTAATGAGGAGTGGGAGTGTATAAGATGCTGAAGCCCACTGTGCAGAGCGGCAACAGGAGCAGGTATCAAGCTCTGGGCTCTGGCATCCAATCACTGCATAGTGGGTTGGAAGGGGGGGGAGTGGGGGACTCAGAGAGGGCGGGATTAGTGAAAGAGTGGCAGCAGCAGCAGCCTCTGAATCACATTGCAGGGAGTAAAAGAGGGGGGGAAAAGGAAGGAGACAGAAAGGAAGCATAGAGAATTGGCCTCTTTATCCCTCTGAACTGCATTTCTTGGAGGAGCCGTGTCTGTCTACCAACCCCTCGTTGCATGGGCGCTTTGGCACGGATTCTCAGCGGCAGCCCCATTCTCCACCTCCTCTTCCTCCTCCTCTTCCTTCTCTCTGCTTCCTTGTCTCCTCCTCATCTGCTGTCTGAATGAATGGATGAATGAAGCAGGTAGTCTGATGCTGTGGGCTGAGCTCCTCCATGGCTGCCAGGTTGGTCTCTCCATATAATGCCTTTTCCCGCATCCCTGTGTCCCTGTTGCTCTGTGCTGACAGGAGTGTGTGTGTGCGTGTGATACTGAGGGAGGGTGTGTCACCTTGCACCATTTTACATCCGATGGTTAGGCTAGGTTAGAAACACCAGCCCACATCCAGTGATTTACACCCCACACACAGCATGATCATCGTAATGTGTTTCTGTCATGGTGTCTGACAGCTGCACCGAGCGGGGTGAAATGAAATGAGATTAATTATAAAAATATATAGGCTGTTATTTCCTAACTTGCCCACAGTTAAAGCATGATGATCTAAGATGCAATATTGAGTCTGATTGGAGGCTTCTGTTATCTACAAGTCTATAGAGTAAATGAAGGATTACATAACTGTAGAGCTTACCGTAGTCAGTCAGCGTTCACTGTGAAGTAAAAACTGACAGTCGTCAATACTGGCATCCCAGCATGTGCTAACACATGACTATTGATGTCATAATGTTTGCAGGAAGCCCAGATTGACCTCTATAGCTCGGTGCTGTTTGTCATTTGACCTTTGACTGGGGGCTGCAATGCAGGGGGAGGAGCTTATCGGTCAGCCCCAGTTCTCCTGGTTAGTTCCCGCGAAAACATGGGGAAGCCATGATGTTCCTGATGTTAGATGAAAAGCTCTAGGAATGGTCTTGGAATGAGCCCCAAGAGAATCTCATTATTACTATAACTGATTCAGCTATTTCTAGTCTTTAATATGGGTCGAAATGTGAGACACTGAGGAGTGTATTCACAAAGGATGGATTACTTCCGCTGATAGCACCATGAATTGTGCATAATTGAAAACCACTATCTGCCCCAACTCAAGGTCCGATTCACAAAAGACATTGCACTTATGACATTGCAGTGCAAACACTTAGCAGAATACAATTCCAGAGTTGATTACAATTTTCCAATTGTATGCACTTGGTACAATTCTCCATGTGAAATGTATACATGATACAGGTCCTGTCTGCCAATGTGAAGAGGTATTCCTCCAAACTGCCAGCAAGGATTTTATATTTAGCAGGAAGAAATTGTATTTGGGATTGAAAATCCCAGTGTGTAATGTGTGCTTCAGTTACCATAAACTCTATGAACACACTAATCATTGCACTGTAACCTCACATGCTATTAGCACTGATCTTTGGGAAATGGAGTTTTGCAGTGACGCTTATTTGCCAATTTCTGCCAAATGCCAATCTGAATATGTACGAATATCACAGGAGCACAGACATGTTATTTACTTGGCAGCGCAGTTAGGGGTGCATACCAACATTTGCCAATGCGTACAGTTTATTACTGCCATAAAAGCCATTCATCCGTTTGTGTATTTGTATTAGCGTAGCTGTTTAGACCTGCACTACAGTAACAGTATAGTACTGTACCTCTATGGTTGCCTATAATTACTAGTTAAGCAGTACTGTGATAATGTCTTGTTTATGTGGTCACCTAGTTATTTGTGTCAGAAGTAGGAGAGTTTACTGGGATAATGGTGTAAAGATTCCTCATGCTGTTGCTGTAGTAGAGGCAGCTTGTCTGTATAGCTGCAGGTGTTAGTTCTTGATGTGTCAGAATTTCATATGTTGTAATTGTTGGAGGATACAATTTTACTAATACATAACAAAATTGCACATTTGAATTGTCCTTAAACTAAAGTGTTCTGAATTTTTGAAGCATTTTATTCCTATTGCGGGTGTTTAATCAGTTTTTTGGAAGATACAATATTTAGCTTTTTTGTATCAGCATAATGGAAAATTAGCTTAAAAGACGGATTTTTTTTTTAAGAAAAAAAACTTAACCCCATAACAGAGCTTAAAGTATATTGAATTGGGCCCTTACAGGTGGACACTAACATCATGCACCACAAACAAAAAAACTAATGCTGCTTTGTTCCTGCTGGGTGTGTAAATTAGCAACTGTCTGCTTAAGACTTAATGATGTGACTGATTCAGATAGTATGTCCTCAGTTTGTTCCACTGCCACAAAGAGGCCAAAGATTAATACAGCTGAGAGCTCTTTCATTCAGTATTGGCATCAATACTGAATATCAGTTGGTAGATACAAACCCTATAAGGACCAGGTCACAACGATATGTGGGTTAAAGATTTAACTACAGAAGGTATTGAATGTTAAGCACTGATGGAAGGGGAAGCGGTGAAGAAGAATCAGGGATGTGGTCTGTTGGCTGGTCTGCAGGACGGACTGAAGTCCAGGCAGAGACAAAAGGGCAGAAAGGAAGAAGCGGTGAAGGCATGTTCAGATGATGGAGGAATGAAGGGAACAAATTGATATAGGGAGGGAGGGATGAAGGGAGGAATGATCAAAGGGAAGTAGTTAGGGCTGTATGGAGGAAGGGATAGGGGAATATTTGGAGGGAGGAATGAAGGGACACTGGCAAAACTGAAACGTTAGCTTTAATTAAATTAATTATTTCAACAGATTTAGCATAACTGTATGAAGTTAGATGAAAGCAATACTATTAAGTTGAACCTAATATATGTTATACAAACTTAATAGTATTGCTTTCAACTAACCTAATGTAGTTATGTGAAATCTGTTGACTTAATACAGTTAATTAAAGTCAATGTTTCAGTTTTTTCTGTGGATGAATGAATGAACGGAGCGAGGAATGAAAGGATGTAGGGATGTGGGTAATAATGAAATAGGAAAAATAATGGATGAATTGAAGGGAAAAAGAAGTTGGGTCGTGATATAGGAGACAAACAACGCCAGAAGTGTTGACCTGGTAGCTCAGCATGTTTAGAGGTGTGATTTAGGCATGGATCTGCTCCCAAACCTCAGTTAACTAATTCATTTCACTAGTGGTGACCCTTGCGGATGTCCCATAGTCATTCCAAAATCCAAGCATCAAAGTGTCTCTCTCTTTTTCAGTACTACCACTGCCACCTCGGACCGGAGCACCCCAGCCTGCTCTCCTGTGCTGCGAAAGCGTTCCCGCGCCTCCACGCCCCAGCTGAGCCCTGATGCTGACAGCAGCATGGTGGAGAAGGGCTCCTCAGACCAGGCCTCGGACCGCTCCCCCACCACTGAGCAGACCATCCAGCACCAACGCTCCACCTCCCAGGCCCTCCACCCCACCAACAGCAGCAGCCGCAGCGGGGGCAAGAACTCCAAGGTGAGCAGACAGAGGCGGACATTGGCTTAACAAAAATGTGCTTTAATTTTCTGACACAAAGCATTACTCCAAGTCAAGAGAGGTTGGCATTACTGCAACGATATTGTCATTACCTTTTAGCTAATACTAGAAGTATTCACTTAAAGTAACAAAGTAAATAGGTCATTGCTACAGTGCAGTGATTATGGTGATTTAGGTGTAGATTGATGGTACAAAATGAAACTCATAATGATCTTACATGCAGATTATCTACCAAGGGTTGACATGGGGGGTTTAATTACTGCATGTGTTCCTGTTGATGTCAAAGGTATACCACTTGTTTAAGTGAACCAGGG